CAGAGTCTGTGCTCTGATATTCTCCTGGCTACTGGAATAGCTGTGAGGGCTCATCGTGCTGCTTTGGGCTGAAGGTCTTATCCTACATCTTGCTGGAGACTGGGAAGATACACAAGGGAAGGAGTCACTTCATTTGGACCATTCTGTCTTTCTCCAAGACTGGGACATGGTCAAAGATGGCTTGATTTGCCCCAGAATGGTTGGTCTTGTCTAAGTACAACCTGTGCCAAATTGCACACAAACACAGGAGAAAACTGAGGGTTCTTACCCCAAGATGTTTCTAATAACTAATCCTTTACAGTCTCCAGCTCGTGGTGCCTGAGGAAACATTCCTTAACTCATGATTTCTCCCCTGATTAACCCACACAGCAATTCTCTGATCCTTCAAGGAAATTTGGTGGCACACAGTGCTCCTTCTGCAACGTTCTCACTTGCAGAATCTGAGGCAAAATCGAGTCTTTCTGGTCTTCCACTCGACCTTTCCACACAACAAAACCGGATCAGATTCACTCATTAAATGTAACAACTTACGGTCAGCCTTGAGTGCGCCCAAACAAAAAAAACATCTCAGCCTTGGCCTCACTCCAACGAACATAAAACTGGCCACATCCCCTGGAAAACTCTTCTGAGGGCTGATAAATCCCATTTGAGCTGCTCTTGGTAATTGCCACCAGTAGCCATAAACTATGTAGACTATTTGCCATCTCACAGTGTGGTTTCAAACGCCATGTGAGGAGGAACGATGGATTTTAAGAGTTTGATTCGGTTCTTGTTTTAATTTAGCACAGCCAGTAAAAGGAAGGCCAAGTGATTCAGAAATCAGGACATCTGTGCCTGGACACAGTCATGGTGCTGGGTTCCTGTGACTTAACGAAGTCTTAATGACTATTCAGCTGGTGGGCCCTGGATAGTTGCCATTTGTAAGGGAAATCCTCTGTCGCTGCCTCATCACGCTACACGTAATTTCTTACAGCTTAGGAGGATTTCTGCCCTTTCTGTGATCTCTGTCTCTTTGCCCCCAGAGACATCCTTCCCTCTCCAGAGGCGGGTGGTGGGGATCTGAACAGAGGTGCATTCCTGTGGTTTAGACCATGAGGAAGAAAACCCACTATGTGGTATAAAAACTTCCCAGAACGGAGTTGAAAGGTCATTTGATGGAGCAGATAACCTAACCAATTTTTCTTTTTATTGAGATATCTGCACACCTGGTTCTTTTTTTAGCATAGAACTGATGTTCTCAGTAAAAACTAGGAAATATGTGGTTTCCAACAGTCTCATCAGCTAATGGATGTAAAGTCCAGTATTTGTGTTTGCCAATATCTAAACATCTGTAGTACTTTGTAACTAGTATATGAAAACTTGGCCTAGCTTAATTTACTAGTCTCAGTCAGTCTTCCTATGTTCTATAATTAATAAAGAGGGTCCAACAAGCAAAATGTCCCCTCATCCCAAATGCCTCATAAAAAATCAGATTTAGATGAATTCATGAATTGTGTCCAGGATTGTCTATATTTTAGAAATGGGAAATGTGCATAGAGTTTCACTGGCCAGTTAATTGTGTGTCAATGTTGACCTAAATAGCAAATTTCTCTATTTGGGCAGTTAATCCAATTATTTCTAGTTAATCACCTGGAAAACACCAACAAGTAGCTTGACCTGAAAAAAAAACCAACATGATTTACATTTCTTTTCTTGCTGAAAGTTTAACTGATTTTGCTTACCTAAAACTGAACTAAATTTTTCTCCAGTCCCATAGTGATTCAATTTCTAGGCAAGAAAAATCTTGGTTAATCTGGGAAAACAGGCTATTTGCCCTGATTAAATGAGTGTACAAACACTTCACACCTACTTCAATGGGACTATGATTTCCTAGTAGGAAATCTGCTTGATGTTTAGGATTAAAAATACTGGTTTCACCTCACTCAAGGATTCAGGAGTTAGAATGAAAAAGCAAATATGTAAATACCAATAGAACAAATTTGCATGTACTTCCATGAGAATCAGGGCTTTAAAATTCTCAGATTCTATGAATTACTTTTGAGTTATGATTGAATTAAACTTAGAGGTTTACTGGGAAAATTTGTGGACTACAAAAGGAAGAAATCACTTTTCTCAAATCAATACTCCATGAAAGGAACAAAAAACAAACCTGTTCCATGTGTGTATAAATCTATACCCACATAAAGATTTGTAATTTCAAAGTGTCCTGAATTTATTCATCAAAATGGTAAGAATATGAAAATGAAGCAGATCAAAACAGAGCCACTGGGACAGAGGTGATTTAATTAATTTTAGGATTTAAGTTTAGATCTGGAATTACAGTAGTAGAAGAAACAAAAGGAGATTGGAAAGCAAACACTCTGAGGTCTGTGAACATAACTTCCGTTGATGGAGGATTGATTGACCTGTAGGACAGATTTTTCCCCTTTTTTTATATTTTTTTTTCTTTTTTTTTGGTTTTCAAGAATTCTAGGAAAAACTGGCTGAAAAAGAGACATTGTGAACCTGCTATTAAATGATGTGAATTTTGTTATTCTGAGCCAGGCAAATATGAAGTCAGTCCATCAGTAGTCCAGATGCATTGCTCACAAATTATTCTGCTAACCTGTCAAAATATGGGAATAAATTTCAAAAGTTACTGTTCCACTCAATCCCAGCCCTCTATCCCAGAAAGATCTCTGTCCTAAGTCATGGGGGAAAAAATTACATAGATAATTGGGATAAAAGAAGTTTACAAAATTATTTAAAGAGAATTTTAATTATTCTTCAAAGAGAATAATGCAAGAAGAAAAGGAAATACCCAAGAAACACGAAACATCCAGACACCTTTGAATGATCATGGAAGAATGGAAGCTTCTTCCTACTGTCTTTAACTGAAAATTCAAATTTAAGTATGAAGATAAGATGCACAGTTAAAATTGAACCCCAGCACCAGTGGAAGGAGGTTATTTCAGGAAAGCTCAAAATTGTGCACTGAATTCACAATTTTCACTCCTCAGTGAAACAATTATATCTGAAAACTCAGATACAGCCAGCTGTGTATCAAAAACAGAGGTCTTGAAGCTGAGCTATGACCAAAAAACTCAGAAGAAGAACAGAGATAGTTTAGAGAATCCATGTGAAAGGAAAAGATTGGAAAATCCAAAGCAGAGTGAAATTTTTTGTGGTGTAAATGCTTTGCACCCAAGCCCAGAGTAACAGGAAGCCCTAATAGGAATGTTTGTTAAATGAACAGTGGTGAACAGTTTGAAAGCTGGAGGTAAGTTACTAAAATTAATAATGGCCAAAAACTCACTAAAAGAGTAAAAGATTCCCAGGAGAGGTATTAATAATCACATATCTCCTAATTATGTGGAAGATGATGATGTTGTTGAGGTTGGACCCCTCATTACTTATCACTGTGATATTCTGCACAGGAATTAAAGGAATGTAAATAGAATTATTAAGGTATGAAAATCAACTATTTATTGACAAAACAGTAATGAAAATTTTCATATTAAAAAAATAGAATCTGAAGGGACCTTGGAGGGATTAAATGATAGTGTTTGACCCACATCCATATTTCTGCTGATGGAAAACATGGAAAGGTTGGAAAAGACCTCCAAGACCACTGAGTTGAAGATTTGTGTTTACAGAGTGCATATTTAGCTCATATCCCACCTAAAATATTGGTGCTTATAATGACTAGAAGGAAAATTGTGGGGAATTCATTTAGGAATTACAAGGGGAACGTTAAGCCTGCACTAAGAAGTAGAAGGCAAAACTTTTCTTCAGAGAAATCAGTGAAAATTCTCAAAAATTAAAGAGAAAGTTGCTATCAGTTCACAAGATTATTATGTCGGTCTGGACTGAGCAGGAGTCCAAGTCTTGAAAACTGGAGAAATCAGTGGCAAAATAAGTTAGCTATCCATAGATTATAAAATATCTTGGCAGCAGGATTTGGTTTGGTTGGAAGCTCTTTCCAGACTGGTGGGAATATCAGAAAGCTCTGTGATAAGACACGGTGCTTCCAACAGGAAGGATGGCCGAAATTATCCCCTCCCTCTCCCCTTCCTACTGCACATTCCTCTCCTTGTGCCAGGTAAAAATGAGCTTATTGCAAAATATTCCTGCATTTTTTCCCCTCCTGGATAATGGGTTGTTTGAAGGCAGGTCATTTCAGTCACCTGGTTCAGAAAGTGACACCACAAGTGGTTGTGTTTTTGCCGCTGAGGAGCTGGCACTCAGCCCTGTAAAGGTGGGAAAAGTGGCAAAGGAGCTGGGAAATCTCCATTCACTGCAGGGACAGAGACAAGTCAGGATAACCCATGGGATTCTTTCAAAAAAATGGAGGTAAAGGCTTAGTTAGCTAAAAAGAGATGGAGAAGAAGTCAGGAAAATCTCAGGTTTGCCAGGAAATTCCTTTGGGTACAGAAGAATTAAGGGGTTACCATGCCCTGAATTTATTATAAGAATTCCCCCCACAGCAGATTCACTAATTCATCAATACAAAAGCGTTTCTTGATCCCACTCAAACCTTAATTTTTTATGCATTAGTTGGTTATCATATCATCTTATCATCATCAGTTATCTTATCTTTTCTCTGTTGAGGATCCCACAGGATGAGCAGAACCCTGTTCTGTGGGCAACCAAAGGTCCCCCTGTTCTGTTGAATTTCCATACCCAGTGGTCACATATGGAAAAGCTGAACCTCTGTTGGGACATGGCTCCCAAAAAAAAGATGAGAAACACTGTAACTAGAAGGGGTTTTATATCTGACTGCAAAAACATTAAACCTCCTACTGACTCCAAACAATATTTGGCATGAAGTTCTTGAGTGGCTGAACATGATTCTTCTGCATCAAACTATTGTGAAATGAATGGGGAAGCAATTAATGTAACAAAGCCAGGAGGATTAAGGTAATGTGGATAAACCTTTGGAGCTATGAACTAAAGGATTTGCATCCCAAGGAAGGTGATGACTCCTGTTTGAACAATTGAGCAGCACCAGAGATATTTACCTTCTTCCCATCAACAGTGTAGAGCTTCTTCACTGGGAACTGCAGGATCTCTGTGATCTCATCCAGGAGCGTTTTGAAACTCCGGGCATTTCTGCGGTTCAGGATGATGGAGCGCCGAAATCCACTTTCCCCGTTCTTAACCAGAGTAATTTTCTTGGGTATTCTGGGGCCATGGTGAGTGAAAGGTGTGGAATAATCTTCCAGCTTTCCCTCCTGAGCCGCTCTCCTCATGGTGCTGGAGGGGCGACTGTTCCGTGGCGGGGCCGGCCTGTGTCCCCCAGAGGTGATGCTGATGGGCTTCACGTACTTCTTGTCGGAGCACAGGTAGCAGCCTCCGTCCTCCAGCTGGTCCAGCTCACTGATGCAGTGTATTCCTCGTGGGGTGGTGATGGTCCGGACCCCGAACGGCAGCGGGACCCGATGGGAGAGGTCATCCATGAGCGCGTTGAAGCTCTTGAAGCTCCGCTGGTTGATGGCCATCTTGACTCCTGCAAACTGAGGGTCTCCACTCTTGAAGAAGGTTATTTTTTTGGCTGGAGGGACCTTGGTGAGGGTGCTGGCCCGAGCCACGGAGGGGAGGGGTGGCTCATAGTTGTAGGAGCTGGTGGTTGACAGGTAGTCAGCAGGCACCTGAGTCATCCCTCTTGCTTAAAGATAACTACAAAGAGAAGGAAAAACAGAGTGGTTTGTTTGAGTCAGGAAGGATCAGAGCCTGACTGGTGTGGGAGCAAGGTTTGTGCTCCTCACAACAGCTCCATCATGAGCAGATTGTACCAACAACCCTTAGGAATTAATGGATCAGGCAGATACAGGGAAGCACAGCGAGAAGAGCGTCCATATCCCTGCTCCTCACAGTCAAACCTTCCTGGGCCTGCAGATTCCAGTGGGAATCCAGTCACTGTCAGTCACCCCTGAGGCACAAAAAGCATGAGTCAGACCCCAGGCAAAACCCACAAAAAGTGCATTGCTGTCCTTTGGAGTTTTGTGTCTTCCTTGCTTATATTTTTGAGGTTTTTTGCGAGATTATCAGAGCCAGTGATTACTTCAGCTTTATTTTTACAAGCACAGCACTGAGATTCTCATGTAACCCCTTAACCCCATGGACTGGAGCATAACATAAACCAAAACAAAGCAGAATTTCTTCAAGTTGTGATTACACTTTGTAGCACACAATCAGTCCTGAGCTCACTGAGGGGCAGAGCAGTCTGGTTTTAGAACAGGCCATGCCAATATGTGCTGAGTTCTGGATGAAAAATTTCAGGCAGTTATGCAAACAAATAACAAATAGCACGAGATACAAAACAGAGCTACAAAACTTGGTTCTGCTAAAGAGTGGGAAAAATGGAGATTGGTTGGGATCATCTGCCCAGTTTTTGTTGGTGTCCTTCACTTTAAAAGATAAACTGATTTTGGTGTTTCAGTCTGGTGGTTGCATGCCACATTTGGAACACAAATGGTTTTAATGTCATTGTCCTGATGAAGACAAGACTCTATTACTTGCTCTTGTCAAATCCACTGTCATGGAAACCAGTTGCTAAAAAATTCAGACCTCCCATGGAATGAACTATTATGGCCAAAAAAGAAGACACTTTGATTTTCACATGAAAAAATAAAAGAGTTAACAATATTTTTCCAACTGCTAAAATATTGGCTGTAATGAGCACAATACATTTTTTTCATGAACATGAGCCCCAGTTTGCTCTGAGTGAATTACTCAGACTTCAATGGAGTAGATGGCACTTAGATATATCATCTTCAGGTCATTTATCTGCTCTCAGATAGGAAATAATTTAAATTGTTAGTAAGGAATCAGCAGAATTTTAACTTGCAGAAGAGGGTTCTGGCCACAAACACTTACGTACAATTTATTTTCTAAATTCTGTTCTTAGTTGGTATCAGTTTTCTATGGTAACTTTCAAAAAATATCTTACAAGAAAGGAATTTTTTTTTAGTGCTCACGAATGAATTAGAAACCAGTAAATGTATTTATAATGAAATGGTGCTTTCAGTTTGCTCCTGGTTACCTCTCCTGCAGCAGCTGAATGAAGTTCTAGTTTGAATAATTGTGATAATAACAATTTATTCTTTGGAGAATCAGTTTGGTGACCACTGCCATTAATGGGAATTTTGTCTCTGCTGCGGCATTCAAAAAGCTGTAAATGCTGAATTTCTCTACATTTTAGAACAAAACCACTATATTCTTACCACAGTACCCTCAAGTGCAATATCTCTGCACGTTGTACTACAGAAAATGCTCCAATAAATGGAAGTTTGAGCTCAGCTAGGTGAGAAAAGACATTAGGCATCATTTAAAAAACCATTATTGTGACAAATCCCTCCTTTTGTACACCCAGGCACACCCCAAAGATTTCAGTATGATTTATTCTTTCCACATACATGTCTCACCGAGCAATTATTCACTTATTTATTTCCCAATTAAAGGTCAATCCATTACTCCAACTCATCATTTCCAGGGAAGAAATATCTTATTTCTCTATTTTCCAACAGCTTCCAGAAAGGTGGGTTCAACTTTTTCTCCACAAGCCCCACACTGGAGCTTTCAAACAGTGACAGCATCATTTCCAAACAAATCCATTATCCAAATTGTAGTCACTGGACAAATGGTGATCCACAATATGCTGACTGCATTCCCAGAAATCTAAACTGCTTCCCAAGGATTTATTGGACATTTTTCAGGTTTTTAAATCATATTGTAAGAAATACAGGAAAAAATGAAATACAGGACAAGTCATAATGCACTTTCCCAATACTACTTTTCTTGGGGAATAATTTGGTTGGATTGTTATGGGATGACTAATTTAAAGGAATATTATTCCTTGAGTTTTGGGTGATAGAGCTGATTACCCACCTCAGCCTAGAGGGTCTGTCAGACCTGCTCTTACAAAGCCATAATTCCCCTTCAAAAAAGTAAATATAAGCAGTTCCCATACAGAAAAGTTTAATATTATCCATTTGAAGGGTCAGAGTTGGAAGCAATTCTACTGTTAATCTGCAAAGGAAAATGCTCACCTTGCCCAAATACACCTTTTTAGAGAAATAAGAAAAGCCTAAATGGATATTTTTGTACTTACATTGAAATACTTCATCCCTCTGGCTCAAGATGGCTTTTTCTTACAGAATATCCAAGGGATTAAAAATAAAATCAACCAAATAATAATAATTTAGGAAAGCAACACATCCAGCCAGCCACCTACAGGATCAAACACACTGGAAAAGGCAGGGAAAAAAATGTTAACAGGTTACCTGCTGTCAATCAACCTGGCCTCAAAATGACTGACCACAGCTTGGAGGGTTAAGCAGGGCTGTGTTGCTAAGGATAGAAAGAAAAGCCACCTAAGCTGCTGGAGGAGGCTCTCAAATCCACTGGGGCTTTAGCCACAGTTTGTCCAATCCCTCTTTTCCTCGTGTCCATGTAACAATCTGACTCCGCTCCGAAATCACACCACTACAACTGGAAATGCAATCCAAAGTATATTCCTCTCTTAAATACAGGCCTGCAGAGACCTGGAAAATTTTCCTGATCCACTCACTAAAACACTTTGGAATCTTGTTTTTGGCAACTCCAGGTAAATCCATGGGACTGGAGTAAAGATGATGGTGGCTCTGAAGGATTTGTGTGGATCTGTCTCTTCTCACCTGGTAGATAGTCCCATACTCAGGACAGAGATAACACCATGACAGCTTTTTCAGGGAAATATTAACAGGAAAGTCTGGAGAGCCCTAACCCCAACATTTTCAATTTCATGGCAGATGTCAAAGTCACATCTCAGAATGATGCTCAACAGCTGGATCATTGAGATTTGAGCATGAAATATGGGCAGATAAACACGTGGATGACAAATAATGGGAAATCGCTTGTTTGCTCATAATTCCTCTAAGAATAAATAAAAGAACAGTAAAACCTGTAAGAGCCTTCCTATTTTGTCTTTCAGTTTCTACTCGCAAAAAAAGACACGTACAAAAACAACAACAAAAAAAAAACCAGTTGGATTTAGGTACAAAATCAGTGAGAAATCTCACTCCTGCATGGACTGAAATTATTGAAGATTGGACGTGATGATCTTGGTTGGTCTTTTGCAACCTTAGTGACTGTGATTCTGTGATTACTTACACAGCCTGTGCACCTTCCTCTCTCCCAGCACCAAGCATATTCTTTTGTAGAAACAAATTACATGCAGAGAAATCAGGGTCCTAAAGGGCTTCTATTACGAGGGCGGGGATTTGGGGATCCTGCAAGAATAATTTCAGCAAGGTTTACATCTCAGATTCTTAGCAGGAATCTTCTAAATGTAATATCAGTGTAGGAGCTGTTACAGTCCTCTTTGTACAGCACTGCTTTCCGGCTGTGGATGCATCTTTGAGGGTCCAGAGGCCATTCCTGTGGGATCCTTGACCCAGAGGACCAAGGTCACCTCTTTGTGGGTTTGCACTGAGTATAAGAGGTCACAGCTCTACAGGAAAATGTGTAGAGTCCATCCATGGGAAAGACTGAACCCCTCATGGAGGCTTTTCTTCACACTCAGGGCTGTGCCAGGGCGCTGGTCCCTGTTTTTCAATTTCCCATCAGAGTCTGAAATGAATTCTCAAGAAGATTAAAGTGTACCAGGCAGGGAAGTCCTGGACTTCTCAACCCTATCAAACCTCTGTTGTTGGAATTCACACAGGGGAAGCTGTGTGACCCCTTAGCCAAAACCTAATGTAATGGTTTGGGTTGGAAGGGGCATTAAAGACCCTCTCATTCCACATGCTGCCATGGCCAGAGACACCTCCCACTATCCCAGCTTGCTCCAACCTGGCCTTGGACACTTCCAGGGATCCAGGAACAGCCACAGCTTCTCTGGGCACCCTGTGCCAGGGCCTCACCACCCTCACAGGGAACAATTCCTTCCCCATAACCCATCCATCCCTGCCTTCTGGCACTGGAAGCCATTCCCTGTGTCCTGTCCCTCCATCCCTTGTCCCCAGTCCCTCTCCAGCTCTCCTGGAGGGCCCCTTCACTTGCAGCATTAACATCTGTTCACATCAGTGTCCCTTGCACTACTCTTATCTGGGAAAGTTTCTTTTCCTCCTCCTCTCTCTTGGGGGTGTAGATGAAGCAGAGGAATCCAGAAGGTGCCTGAGCCAAGGCAGGAGATCTGTCAGGGAATGTGACTCCATGAGCTGAGCACCAGGTCTGTAACCACTGTTCAAGGCCTTTAAGAGGAGCTTCCAGACTTGGTTTAAATACATTACATTATCAAGAATCCATCGCATCCAGCAGTGACAGCTCATTAATCCCACTTAATACTAAAACCTGCATCTTTCCTCTCGCCTGAACAGTCCCAGTGTCAAATTTTTTATGACTTTAGTTGATTAATCAGGTTGCAGAATTTTTCTGGAAATTTCTCCTCTCATACAAGTAATTTTAGCTTCTACTTCTGCAAAGTCATTTCTTTCAGACAGAAGAAAAAAATTACAGACCACCACTAACATTTGGAATGCAGCTGGTTGAAAACTCTAGGTTTGTCTTCCTGGAAAATCATAAACAAAATTATTTAATGTGGAATTTTTCCCAGAGTAGGTGAGAGTTTCTAGCTAGGAAGATGGATCAGTTTGAAGATTTAACCATGTGTTTCTAA